GCTCACACTATAGGAGACATTGTGTGGATTGCGTTGATTTGTATGCTTGGCTTCACTGATCTGAGCGGCACTCGTGTCGAAGCCATACACGTGTGCGAAGTGTTGGGCCAGCGGTCGACTGCATTGACCGCTACCGCACCCGACGTCCACTGCAGACAACCACTCAGATTGCGGTAACTTTTGCCGCAAATAACTTATGATCGCATTTATGATCTCTTTGGGAGGATTTGGTCTGAATTTAGAGTAATATGAAGACTGAAGCGTGTCTTTGAAGAGATTAGCCATCAATTCATTCAAACAATATTTGCATAAATTATTGACAATATTTCATCAGATTTTGACCGCAATTAACACAATAAATGTATTTAACAATCGATGCCTTTTTGTGTTCACAGCTTAACACTGGATCTCCTATTGTAATGAGTTGTAGAAAAAGGTACCAAAACTTGAGTTATATAACGGAGAGTATTGTATGTGTTGTGCGAGTGTTGGCAATGCTTGACATGTGTTCACACGTTTTGGTCAATGAATGAGTAAAACAAATATTTGATTCAAAACTCATTTTTTGAATACAATTTGTGTATAATTTGTAATCAATTCATACGACAAGACATTGTCTGACATTTGAATGAGACTTGGATTGTGAGACCAATCGATCGCATATTAATTGATCCCAGAATTGAATTGAAAGCCAATCGATAACAATATCGGACAGCAATGCCTCTCACGTGTCGTTTCTATTCCCAGAAGTTCCCAGAAGTGGATGACGTGGTTATGGTTAACGTCAGATCCATCGCCGAAATGGGCGCTTATGTCCATCTCTTGGAGTACAACAATATCGAGGGTATTATCCATTGATAACGAGTACATATGCTTATAGTGTTAACCGGCGTTTCGCTCTTGCCTTTGAAGGTATGATATTGTTGTCTGAGTTGTCTCGCCGTCGGATCCGATCTATCAATAAACTGATTCGTGTCGGACGTAACGAATGTGTTGTTGTGATCCGAGTCGACAAAGACAAGGGATATATCGATTTGTCTAAACGACGGGTTTCTCCCGAAGACATCGTCCGATGCGAAGAGAAGTTCGCCAAAGCGAAGGCTGTAAATGACTTAATCATCTCTTGATTGTCTGATTTGTTGTCAAATGAATTTGAAATATGGTTTTGATTTTTTGATGTTTAGGTGAACAGTATTTTAAGACATGTGGCGGAGATTCTGGGCTATCAGACCAATGAAGAGTTGGAAGAGTTGTATCAGAAGACCGCCTGGTTTTTTGAGCTAAAAATGAAGAAACAGTCGTCGAGTTATGATATGTTCAAACACTCCGTCAAGTATTACCATTGTTTACGACGTGTATTGAGACAAATGTCTGAAATATGTATATTTGTATTGTTTAGCGATGTGTCGGCTTTGGATGAGTTAGGCCTCGACGAGAAGACCAAAGAGGTTTTGATTACACATATAAGGCGTCGACTTATGCCTCAAGCGGTTAAAGTGAGGGCCGATATAGAGGTGGGCTGTTGTGCCTATGAGGGCATCGATGCCGTCAAAAACGCGTTGAG